TGAATCATTAAGTTTCTCTACAGTAAATAATTTTACTTCAGACCACTATGAATGACTTTGTTTGCATCTGTTCTAATTGGCTGTACCTCATTTAAAAAGGAGCCTCGGCTAAACTGAATAAATGACATATTTTATGAATATGTTTAACTTCATCTGCTGCTTTGAGATGTCCGGATCATTTGGAAGGCTGTAATGATTTGCCTCCTGAAAGCCAGGAACAGCACAACGTTTAATCCTTTTCCCCACACATTCTACTTTAGTAACTCTGCTACAGACTGTCTGCAGTAACAACACTGTTTATGACTTCAGAAGGAATGGGCAGAGTTAACCTGCTGTAGGCTGATCACATATGTCCTTTTTAAATACCCTAATAAGTAAAGAAATAATAAGACAAGTTTAGGTAACTGTACATCTGAATAGCCACACTACGCCACGACACACTGGGTTCAGTGCGATTACAGTAGAGGGACATGCAGTAGTCTCTTGCTGGTGTACCGCGGGGGGGCTTCTGGCTTGGTTGGAGTCCTCAGCCTGTGGATGGTCGAGTGCTGGAGACACACACAGATTCAGCAGGAGTTCTGCTCTCTTTACTCCGACTCCCTCATTTCTCCACTCCCCACTGATAGCTTTTTTATTTCACTCCCACAGCTGTGTTTACCCCACTAATACACTGTCCGATTGACTCCTTCCAACAGCCCTCAGGTTTCGAGAAGACCCTGAGTGTCTGTGACAGTTTTCCTACCTGCATGTGCAAGAACAAGGGCATGTCGTAGCATATCGCTGTTATCGGAACAGAACCTCGTATCTCCAAAATGGTGTCACATCTGTTCCCCTCCACACCAACAGAGGTCTCACTCACCTGCATACTGAATCATGCTGACACCTGTCTCTAATCAGAAGCCCATTAGTGGGCTACTTAAGTTGTATCCTGAACTAAGCTTGGTGGGAAGTCTTGCTAAGGTTTTCCTGAGCAGTCTATTCCTTGTATGTAGCCTCTGGTTTTGACCCCTTGCTCCTAGATTACGTTACAGATATCTGTATTGTGGTTTTGGACTTTCTGCCTTATCTCATATGAAGCTCTCACGGTTTTGACCCTGCCTGTGTATGATTATGAGCCTTTGAATTCTTCAATAAACCTTCAATAAAAACGTGATTTCAATTACTCACTGGGAGGTTCTTCATCACATGGTAACTTTACAGGAGAAGGAAAAAACCCACTTTACTTTTAATGGAAGTTAAAATGACTTTTTTCCAAGTCATTTTGGGCCGTTTCTGTTGGTCCATTCATCATGAAATTTACACACAACGTAAAGGCCAACAGGCATGTTCAAATTATGTCAAAAACTGAAAAACGGTAAGAATGGAGATACAAGGTTTTCTTCCAAGAGCAGCGATATTCTTCTTTGCGATGTCTTAATAGAGGTGCCTTTACATTCACTGTTTAAAACGTTCTTTCCAGGGAGCAGTTTTATTTGTTGATGGGGAATCACTGTGATACCTGCTCAGATAAAAATCCAGTCATGGCTGCCCAAGTCTTTGTAACAGGTAAAAAAATATAGCTTGCATATCTATATATTTTTGGCACTATATACTGTCCTTCTGCACTTTATATGTGAAGCTTACTGTATTTTGCACTTCTGGTTAGATGCTAACTGCATTTCATTGGCTCTGTACCTGAACTCTGCACAATGACAATAAAGTTGAATGTAATCCAATCTAATCTAATCTAATGTAATCTAGTATATTTGGGGGGGTTAAGCTTTAGAGGGAAAACAGAAGGAAGGGGCTGTTTTTTGTTTGGCTGTTAGCTTTTTTCAGTTAACTTCCACCAAAGTTGAGTGTGCTGCCAAAAAGATATATTAGATATCAAAGCAAGTATCATTCAGAGATGTTGGCCATGAAACACAAGTCATGGTTTAAACTCTAGTTAGTCTGAATAACATTGTCTGGCCATGTTTATAGATGTTACTGAATTGAAATCAATGCTAACACTTCAGGGAATGGAGGTGTCGTGTTTCAAATACAAATCAATCATTTTCTTCTAAGAAACTGAAATAAACTACGGAAGTCCGGAGAGGCCATGGGCTGTTGTTAATTTTCTGGATTGTTATCTTGAGATAACAAGATGTTATTGTCATTGTCGTTGTCATATTGTATTGTTAGTGACTTATTATTTCAAGATCATTTTGTTACTGATATAACAAGACAAGTAACTTATTTCAAGGTAACAATTTTTTTTATCTTGAGATTACAAGATAATTAACTCGTTATTTAGGATGAAAATAACGAGAAAAAAATCTCTTGAGATAACAAGATGAGTAACTTGTTATTGTAAGGTAACAATTTTGTTATCGATATAACAAAACAAGTAACTTGTTATTTCAAGATAACAATTTTGATATCTTGAGATAACAAGATGAATAACTCGTTACCTCACGTAACAACTTTGTTATCTTGAGATCACAATATGTTGCTGAATACATTTGGAACCGTGTATTCAGTATTTAGCTATATATATATATATATATATAAGATAATTAACTCATTATCTTAAGATGAAAACCTTTGTTCTCTCAAGATAGCAAGATAAGCAGCCATCCAGCCAGCCATCCATCCATCCAGCCAGCCGTCCAGCCATCCATCCGTCCATCTGTCCATCCATCCATCCATCCATCCATCCATCCATCCGTCCATCCAGGTTGCTGTCAGTCTCGTTTATTGAGATGCACTGTTTGGTCAACATGAGAGCTCATTCTCACACACACAGCACTGGTAGTGATGCTATTGCCTTGTTTAAACAGCCAAAGATCACAGATTGATTCAAATGCTGACCTTTCTGAGGCGTCTGGGTTTCCCCCAGTGCGAGATGTCGATTAATGCACTCTACGTATCTTCTGCCTTTTACTGTAAACAGCATGTAATCGCAGGGCTTTGCTTCTCTGCAGGGAAAACTAGGATGAGAGAGAACAAAACAACAAGTGCTGAAATATGACATTCAGCAGGTATCAGCAGGACACAGTGTGTGGCTTTGGTCACTTTGCTCTCTCTGTATGGCCGTTATATCACAATACGTTTTACTTGAGAGTTAAAGAGTGAACTCCTAGAATTTCAAAATGCTGAGGTGGTAGCTCGCTACTGGCCATTAATAAGCAGACTGCATGCATGTGTGCATTAAAGCTCACAGTATAGTTTGTTGAGTGTGAAAATGATGTAAATCGTATGTTTTGGCCTATGTAGGCACCAGATCTCCACCCAGTTGAATGCTATACTGTCATCAAAACACTGACTGAGTGAACATCTTTTAAAGGATTGTTTTTTTAGGACAATATTTTTAGAATACATACTAACAAAATTTAAGACAAATACACCATCTTTAAAACAAACTCCATCAATGCTTGTTTATTGACCATTTTAAATGTTGGACCATTTTAATCTCAGTGTTACTGAGCTCTGCTAAAGCCTGAGTAGACTGATAAATCAATGTGATCAGTTATTAATCTCAGTGTTACTGAGCTCTGCTAAAACCTGAGTAGACTGATAAATCAATGTGATGATCAGTTATTAATCTCAGTGTTACTGAGCTCTGCTAAAGCCTGAGTAGACTGATAAATCAATGTGATCAGTTATTAATCTCAGTGTTACTGAGCTCTGCTAAAGCCTGAGTAGACTGATAAATCAATGTGATCAGTTATTAATCTCAGTGTTACTGAGCTCTGCTAAAGCCTGAGTAGACTGATAAATCAATATGCAAGCATTTTGTGGCAAGTTACATGTGTCATTAACTAAATATCACATAAAAATCACTCTACAGTTAAATTTGCAGCATTTGAGACAGCAGTGGGATTATGGGAGCAGCAGTGGACTAAAGCAGGTGATGCGGGACAAAATCAATGTTGAGAATTTTATAACTTCATTTAAATAATTGTTTTTTATGACACATATTAACGAAGGACTTACATGAAGAAAATTGCCAATCAGTAACAGAGGAACAGTGTGAATTAAATGTAAATGACCACAGCAGAATGTTTCCCATGTGCCTTATCACTATGCATTCTAAAGGTATTCTGAATATGCTACTTTTTATGTATGGTAACAGAATATGTTGCTGAATACATTTGGAACCGTGTATTCAGTATTTAGCTATATATATATATATATATATATATATATATATAGCTAGAGACGTGTAGAATTAGTGTCAAACTGTGCTCACGATGGCCCAACACTTTACACTGTCACTTGTCTCTATATGTTATATAGTTCTGTATAATATAGAGAATGTATATTGTAAAGTACTGGATGCAACACAGCTCTATAAAAATAAACTTGGAAATTTCATTGTGGACAGAAATATGTTTATTAACACATTACGAGACATTTTTCCCAAAATATGTGCAGTAAGTGATTGTTAATGAGTTTTGCTCCTGCTGACTCTCCTGCAGAGTTTTATTGCAGCTCTAATCAGATCCACCCAACTCCTCCATTCAGATGTTCCTGTAGGCTTGATTAACTCAACCAGGCGTGTTCAGTGTGTAAAGCAATAATTCTGAAACTCGTCCTCAGGGTGGTCCACATTTCTGCTTTATTCCTCCCTTGATCTAGAAGGGAGGCAGGGGGCTGGCTGAGAACTGAACCACTGAAGTCAAGAATTAAATATTGCTCATTGTTAAAAGTGTAAAGAAGGCTGTTCCCATAGAATATGGGAATATAGCACTGCAAATCAAGAACATTTTCTAGAACAAACTTCTTTGGATAGACTATAAATATGCTGCGTAGATTGCTGGCAAATTGACTTAGTCGTAAAATAAGAACGTACAGTCTCTTACGAAGCATCAAAAGCTATTTGCCTGCTAAACATGAGTGAGTGAGTGAGTTCCACAAGATACTTTTCAACCTACAATATAGTTTACACTTTACAAAAGGAAAAAAGGACAACAGTCATTGCTTCCACATGTTTGGCATGAGGTGTATTTGCTGAAGTGATTTCTAGAAACACTAAAAATGTTCCAAATCAATTTATTATTGTAACAGTGAATCCAACAATGAGACGTGTTAAATAAAAAAATCCAGAAATCCCGTATTTAGTCCAATAATTTCTGAAACTTTAACCGAACCGAACATTTACTGGATTTACTGGACAGAAAAAAAATGTTATTTACAACAATCTGTTAGTATTTAATTACATCTTTTGTGATGCCGCTAATTCAAGCAACTGCTCCATTTTACTAGATATTAGTCATACATTTTATAGGCATGATTCTAGGGGTGGGCTTTGGGACAAACATGTAATATTTTGATACTTTACAATATCGAAGACAATCTGCGGTATTTCGTTCTTCTGTGGTTTGGAATGAAACTGAAATGAAATTGGACTGGAATGGGAAAACAATTGGTAAAAACAATTGGTAAGTAAGTAAGACAATGGTATGATGGGTCTTATCATCATGTTATTCAATCAAAAACATTGCTCTCAACAGCTGCGCTACCCAGGACCCCCAGGCTTTTTGTCAATGAACTATGCAACTGTCTATTGTTCCAGAAATACTATCATACCTGTGATGTGTTCAGGAAAGTCTTTTGGGATGAAATGTACTGCAATATTGTCACACTGCCCACCTCTACATCAGGCCCATGCTACAGGCTACATAAATGCTAAAATGTAAGTGACACTTTAAGACAGTTTAGCGTACCAAGACTTCATGAGAGACAGTTATACATTCTCAAAATTGCCATATGCGACAGACATATTACAATAACATTTCTGAACTGCAACACGTCTGGCTATATTGCTCATTCTGTGAGACGGTGTTATTTCCTCAGTATTTTATCTCCACTTCTAGCCTCCAACCATTATCACCTCTCCATGTCTGCACGGAGCAGCTCAGTGCGGTAAAGGCGCACCATTGTGTTTGCATGGCTCAGTAGCATCTTTAATGGAAGTTACTGTGAAAGGAGCTCTGGGCGCAACTATATGAAAAACATTACATCAAAAATGATGTCCTAAAGAGAAAAGACAAGAAAAAACACTTAAAATATATTTCCCTTTTATGCCAAGGTATGTATTCCTACTGGACTTTCCAACAAAGTGCCATTAAAATTCCAAATGAATCATTACCACTAATGTTAGACAAAAGAATGAGTGTTAATGGCGTTGGATGTCATGAAGTATTACTGAAAGGCAGGTTTGGAAGATTAGGAGGCGGAGTTTCCAAGAACAGCTTACAACACTGGAGGTCATACTCATCATCATATTTTACCTCATATTTTCTTCCGTTTCTTCCTTTTTTATGTTATCAGCTGGGAAGTATCTTCATTCCTTTTAATTAGTCTTTTTTCTGATACTGTTGTAAAGATATTTAAAGACTTGTATGATACACGGGCTGGTAAAATGAGCAGATACATGATGCACTTCATTTTGACGTGTAAATGGGTCATTCCCTGCCAACTTACCTAGACTGTCTAGAGATAGACTTTCTGGAGTCGGTTATCCTGGAAATCAAATGTTTTTCTATATACTGTTTTATTCAAATGTTTTCAAATGTTTCAAAATTAATAAGCCACAGAGTAGTCACAGCACATCTGTATACTGTATCTGTTAATGAGACATAACTCTTCTTAGTCAAGAAAAAATACTGAAGAAAATAGGATTAGTCACTTTGAGAAACTAGTGGGTAAAAAAAGCCCATAAAATTGATTTTTAGTCGTGAAGCCATTTTGTGCTCATGGCATAGTTTTAAATATTGCAGGAAGAAATGAATAATTCATATTTCTGTTATTTAACAGGAATGTAGGAATACAAGATCAAAACCCACATTCTGCAAACATATTTTTGAAATACTGAATTAATTAAAAAAATTGTTAAGAAAGAAAAGTTGAAATGTTGCCCAACCTGACATAAACCTTCAACAAAAAACCTGTTGTGCACATTTATGACCCAGAAACAGAAATGGCCAAAGTGAACTGGTGTGAACCCAAACAGCTTTTCTATAATGGGAAAAAAATCTACAGCTTTCTCGGAAATAAGAATGTAGGAAGACAACATAAAATCTATGTTAAGCGAAAATGACAGTAAGACTAAATGCATGAAGCATGAAATACTCCAAAAAGTACATGGACCAACTAATGAACCTGTTGTGGACATTAATCAACTCGAAACCAGTTGATTTCAAGTCAAATTATACACTCAGTGTTGTATTTACACCCAGCTTGGTGGGGCAATTTTTAAAACTTCATGACCAAAAAAACTAATTGGTGCACAAGTATAAAAAAAATTACAGTTGCATGAATTAAATGTTTTTACTACTAATAATTTTATGGAATTCCATGATGACCCAGGCCTAGAAAGGGCCTAGGTGAGTTGGTGTGGAATGACCCAAACAGCTTTTCTTTACCACAGAAAGAACAATATACAGCTTTCTTGGAAATAAAGGGGAATCATTGTAAGACTATTGAATTAAGATTCAAGTGACTGAAAGGGTCAAAGCATTTTTAGGCTGGCCATAGAAAAGGCCCACATATGGAATATATCCAATTCTCATAGCAATTTAAGGCCTGTCAGATATACTGAAATTTGACTTACAGGTCTCTATCACTTTAGGGCTGACCTGCACATACACTACATACACACATTCACACAGAACAGTGAGTTCACATTACAGAAAGTCAGAGGCTGAGAGGGGTCTCTAAAGCACTGCTCAGAAGCATAGAAACCCCTTTCACTTTGCCTTTCAACCTTTGCTGATAGGATTTGACCAAACGCAGGGGAATAGAATAGACCCCTTCCGCAGCTCCGCGGTGTGGCGAATTCCAAAGAAAACGATTCACTAGAGGATGACCTGACAGTGGCCTTAAGGAAACATAGCATATTTTGAATAGCGCTGACCCCTGGTGAGGGCAGAGCTGAATGCATTCACAGACTCTAAACACATAATCTGAGGTTTCCTGTGGAGAAATGATGTATCATGGAGAACACTTTGGTCCTGGAATACTCTCATTGCCAGTGTGATGAACCTGTAGACTTCATATGACACGACAGAATAAATAAACCTCTTGCATGTAGCATCTGTCGTGTCCCAGACTCAGCATCCACCTTCTGGATCACTCTCAAAACAGATGTGTTAAAAAATGTGACTAAGACTGTTAGAGATCAGTTAAGAATTGTGTTACCTTAACACTGTGTTACCATATCTTACACAGGCATTGACAAACAAGAAAACTAAGTCCATTAGTGGAAAATGTCTGAGCATTGTAAGCCTGTGTCCATGGTAATAATCCGTCTTTCATTTATTTATTTATTTTCTGTAAACCTTAGGAAGACGCTAGTATTCCAACAACTTTCAAACATGTTGGGAAAATTGATATCCTACTTTAAGACCACATTTACTGTACCTAACATCTATCTGCTGTAGATACAGACTGTTGTAGAAATGCGGCTGTTGAGCTGCACTGGTTGAACATACTTAGTGCTGCCTATTTGGTACAGTGTACATTTTTGGACTTCTTTAGACAGCAGCATTCGATTTCAGACATCAGATAAAAACAGCTTCAGGTCTCAGGAAAAACAGTAAGATTTAAGGTGAAACATGCAGTTTCAAACAGCCACAGGCGAAATGGTTTCAGACAAGAAGGCATCAAGCTAAGCTGAGCAGACTCTGAGGGTAAAGTTTGTGTGACAGTTGCAATTCCGTTCTTAATCACTAGAAAGTAAATTTTCTCTCCTGGATCTTCGTCTAACTTCCTGACCATTTCTTCTGCTGGTTTGAGCTAATTAAAGAAGTTGGGACAAAATCCTGGGGAGAATTTTTACATTGTAGACATGAAATACCAACATCTGTTAATAAAGACTGGACGTCTTCTTTCAACTGTGGTTTTAACACAACTAACTGAAGAAGAAGACTCTGCTGTGGACACAGGCCTAACACATTATAGGCTATAATACTCTATATTGTTCATATGATCCAAACAGTCATTCAGACAGACTGCAATATGCTACAAGAAGCATAGGGGGAAAAATGTTTTCTGTTTTTTCATTGCACTATAAAAGAAGAAATCATTTGTTGCACAGATGGAACAGGTGGATTGACGGCAGTGCTATGATGGGCCAATATGATCGGAAATGGCAGAAGGTAATAGATTATAGTTCTAACTACACAATCTGTCAGAGATATACTGTGTTCTTGTAACCCGACACAGGAAGCATATCTGGAAAATGTGAACTGTGTAGTAAACATTATGAAATCACGCCTTAAAACCATCCCCTACACATAATGGGGTGTAGTGTACAGTACTGTGCAAAAGTCAATGAGCACCATTCGCTTATTTCATTTCCAGTCAAAACGTCCAGCGACTGATTTGCTTTCATTTCTCGGGAGAAATTTCTAAGGAGATTAGATCAAAGATAATCCACTTGCATAAGGAAAGAGAAAGTCTTAATCTTTTACTTGATCTTAAGAAGTAAAGAAGTGAAAAAACAGGAGTTTCCAAAACTGCAGTACAAAAATATTAAAAGATACAGAGAGAAATGAGGCTCCTGACAACCACCTGGAAGAGCTGGTAGACACCAAAACTCCCCCCCATCAGATAAACAGCACTTAAAGCTTTCAACTTTGAGAGAGAGGAGAAAATCAAGCTGCTTCAGATCTGAAAACATCCACAGGTGTTTCTGTCCATCCTTCCACTGTGAGAAGACGACTCAGCGCTGTGGGTCTGAAAGGATGTGTAGCTGATCAAGAAGAACCTCACTGAGAAAAGGAGACGGACACATCAAACAAAGAAGCTGAACAATGGACTGACCACCCCAGAGTCCAGACCTCAACACCACTGAATGTGTTTGGGATTACTTGGATTGTGAGAGGCAGAAAATCCAACCAACTTCTAAGACTGAACTTTGGAGGTGTGTCTGCAGATTTATTATAAAAAGTGAAAGTGAGTCATCTGAAATGAACGGACGCTGTAATGAAGGCAGAGTGGACAGACTAAATACGAACAAAACTATATTTAGTTGTTGAGGCTTCTGTGTAATTATCTTTTAAATATGTTCACTGTTTTTGTGACGCTGAAAAATGAACAATGGCCAATTTGACTGTGAATGAAAGAAACACTACTGTATTTTATTTAATAGTATTGTAATCGATTACTATTGACCCTAACATTCATCATGAGATGCAGAACCAACTTCTAAGACTGAACTTTGAAAAATATCCCTGCAGATTCCTTTGAAAAACTGAAAGCAAATCTCCTGATATGAATAGATGCTGTAACTGAACAATATCATACTTAGTTGTTGAGGTCTTCTGCTTTTTATCTGATAAAAAAAAAAAATTATAATAATAACTTGCATGGAAATTTTGACAGGAAATTTTAAGGGTGGGCTCGGACTTTTGCACAGTACTACACAGTTTTATTCAAACCCTGTGAAAACTTGGTAAAAACTAAACTAAAAAAGTTTATTAAAGTTATTAACACATCTTTTTTGAGAGTGATCAGTGAAACCAAAGTGGGGAACTGACAGAAGCTCAATGCTGAGGTCTCCTTCAGTGCGTTCCTTTTGCTGCTATGTGAGCTGCTCAGGTCAAAGTCCCACCAACCTTTTGCATCTCAAACACTGTCTACATAAACCATAACTCAGACAGTGAGAGGCAGCTGCCAGACCATGAGGGTACTCTCTGTGGACTCTGCTGTGCCCCCTGCTGGGCCCTCCTTCAGTCTCCTGAAGCCCTTTCCCCCAGAAATGACCGCCGCAGAGGTGACCCTGTCCCTCCTCGGGCTGTCCCTCTCACACGGCCTCCCTCTGACCCACATATCCGGGTCATCGCTCAGCTCATAGATGGATCCATCCTCCAGGCTGTGTTCTAGAGACTCCAGAGACGAATCCGAGGCTTCGTCGCCCCGAGCCGTCAGCGGACTGCCAGGCAGGCCTGTGGTGGAGCGGAGGCGGTACTGCAGCAGAAGGCCCCGCGCCTTTCCCTTCCCCTCCCCCAGAGAGGAGCTGCTGGACTGCTGCAGGGACTCTTGCGAGGACGAGTCGCTCCGCTCCTCCCCTCCGAAGGCAGAGTCAGGACCCTCCACTACAGAGTCCCGCTTCAGAAGGTCTGGGGACAGAGTGCTGGAGGTTGCCACCAGGAAGTCCACTGGACCACAGTGGGCGTTTAGAGAGGTCATGCCCTTACCTGCAGCACAGGACAAATTGGCTTGAAGAAACTGACATAATTCCAAATGTATATATAGACTAAATTTTTTTATGGTATCCTATGAACTATGATAACCTTTAGAGTATAACAGCCCTATACACCGAGCGGTCACTTCCTTGTTTCTACACTCTCTATACTGTCCATTTTATCAACTCCACACACTGTAGTCCATCTGCTTCTCTGCATACTTTGTTACCCTGTTCTTCAGTGGTCAGGACCCCCATGGACCCTCACAGAGCAGGTATTATTTGGGTGGTGGATCATTCTCAGCACTGCACTTACATTGATGTGATGGTGGTATGTTAATGTGTGTTGTGCTGGAACGAGTGGATCAGACACAGCAGTGCTGCTGGAGTTTCTTTGGTACCACCAGTGGTTCCAAAACGCACTTGGTCATATTCTTCATAACTTTTCATAAGCACCACTCGAAAGGTGGGGGTCGTATGAGAGCTGTAACTGTCTTCTTTCCAGTCAAATAGATGGGTGATATCATTTTAAACCCTCATAATAAAAGAAGCTGAACTCACAATTTGTTTTCTACTGAAAGTCGACTCATTTTTCCACAAATCTCGGCTATAAACTATAAACAGATGGCGTCTCTTCAGTGATCTGCTCTGTAAACATTACTTTTATAAAATAATACAAAGAGTGTCTAAGATTTTTGGCTTTCAGCAGTAAATTCTAAGCATATACCAATATGTGTATCATAAAACACATGTTCTGTTAATTTGAGGGGAGCTTTTACCAAAAAAATAAATAAATAAATAAAATAAAAATGTACATTTATTTTATGCAGTCACAGAATAATGTGCCTTACAATTTGGTCATGTAAATTCAGATGGAAAAAACAAAATATACCCTGGTCAGTGTCGCTGCTGGACTGAGAAGAGTCCAATAAACAAAGATATCCAGCCAACAGTGTCCTGTGGGCACCATGCTGTGACCACTGATAAAGGAACAGAAGATGACCAACACAAAATGTGCAAAAGTTGAGCTATTGTCTCTGATTTTATATCTACCAGGTGCACCAACAAGGTAGAAGTGTCTAATGGAGTGGGCAGTAAATGGACTCTGCGTTCAAAACCTGCCACATTCTGGTCATCCAAAAAAGAACATCTAACAAGCCTGGCTGAGCAACGGTTATGCAAACTCATGCAATCCATGCCTAGAAGACTTTAAGCTGTCAACCAGGAGCTTTTCCAGAAAATATTAATCTAACTAAAATATTAAATTCTGACCTACATAAGGGAAAGAGACACTGTCTGTCCTGCAAATGTTTGAGTACACTTTACTTAGGTTAACGATTATTCAAGCCTTGTTTAGGTTTTCGGTTCATTACTGGGATCGTTTTGAGTTTCAGATAGTAAACGTGGTTGTTATTGTTGGTCTTTATAACTTTTCTGACGTATATGAACGAATGGGACAAATTTATCTTGCAAAGTAATAAATAAACAAGATAGAAATTGTACTCAGAGTGTCCCAAGACTAGTTTTGAACACTGTATAGTGTATTGGTCCTTCATAGCGGTTCCCAAGAAGACTTCTCCCCTGCATATTTTGTTTGTTCCTGTTCTAACACAACTAGTCAGCTATTGAACAAACACTTGCTGAGTTGAAGTGGGTGTGTTAGAGCAGTGGAGCGATACTCCAGGACCTGCATCAGGAACCACTGATCTACTACATACTGCAAATTCATTGTGTTATTATTGTCCTATTGTTAGTAGATGGTGTGAAAAGTTTCCACACTGATTGAAATAAAGGTACTGTGTAGTTTTGTTCATCGAGGTACAAACAGTGTAAATGTTCCCTCAAAGGTACAACAGTAGTTTTAAGGTCTGATTGTGAACCTTAAATAAGTTTTTCCAGGTGAAAAGTTCGTATTTGTACCTTTTCATAACCGAATGTTTTAAACAGAACAGTAAAATAAAAGCCTGGAGACGAGACGGGGTGTGTGGAGTCAGTACAGCTTAGAACATATCATTTCAGTGGATTATGGTTCAGTTATATTCCCTGACTAAAGGTATTGAGATGGAGCCTTGAGGGTTCCACCCCAGTGACAAGAGGGGCACTGACCCAGTGACAGATTACTACCTTTATTTCTGAGAGTGTAGAAACAGACAAATAATACAGCTGTATAGGTAATGTGCACCTGTGTACCTGTTATCTTGGGAATACCCTCCAGCTTGGGCACTGGCAGAGTGACGATGATGCCCTGGGCAGTGCCCACCCACAACAACCCCTGGCAGATCAGCAGACTGGTCACTCTCAAGCTCTTCTGGCCTAGAAAGAGAAAGGTAAACAGCGTTGGTGGAAAATCTCACTGCTGCCTGGGAGACACGGCTGACGGCTTTATTCTGCGCGAGAAACGTTGGCTGGTTCACTTTGCACCGGGCTGCTTTTGTCTTTGCAGGCAGTTACTTCTTTTTCCCTCCAGTGGGAAATTGATTGAGAACAAAAGTGCGCTTTTCTCCTTTAAAGAGACACTGTTCCTGCCCTGGCTGGCATTGTTGCCTTCAAAACATAGGAAATCCTGCTCTCTGCTGATTATCCACCTTTGGCCCGTTCTCTTTAGTGAGCCGCACCGTTTAGCAGGCTGATTATAATGACATTTTGTTTTGTTTGCTCATTGTTCATCTCTCTAAGCCTTTTAGCTGTTTAAAGGCATTGAAGCTTTACACACAATTTACACAAGACGATTTTACAGATGCTGCCTTAAATCCTTAGCTTATATTCCTTAGATACCTGGAACCCACCTCAATCTCCACTGCAACCACTTAATTAAAGGAACAAAGAAAAAACTAGCGCTGAAGAAGTGTCTTTTTAAGGCTTCGCCAAGTGTGCATGGTGGTTGTATGTCATGCTCAAATTATAGTGTGTGCTTTGCATGAGCAACCAGACGGCCTAATTGATTCTTTTTCACCGCACGTTGTGGTTGGGAAGCGATACGCTTTGGGAGTCTCGGGCTAATGTGTAAATGAAGCATTTCTAGAACGGTAGTTAGCCAGGAGGATGGCACCGAAGGTCACGGAAGAACATCAGCGGAGAAATGGCACTTGTAGGAGTCCCATCTTACAAATGTCAGCTGCACGGTTCACACGCACCTCTTCATAACCGTGTTGGAGAGTCAGCGCAGTGTTCGTGTCACAATGCAAAGCTACCTCTCTGCATTATCTTGTGGCTATGGGAATGGAGTACACATTCAGATCCCCAGGCTTCTGGAAGAAAGGAACAGCTTAACATCAAGTAGCACTGAATATTTAATAAAGTGGCCCGCTTCATTCGCAAGATCTAAAGCAGAGGACCGAGTTTCAACTTAATCTGTGGGATCCTGCTTAAAATAAATGTTTCTTTATGATATCTGGCTAAGATCTACTAAAGCTTCACTCTTCGTACCCCAAAGGAAGCGGCTATTAGAGCTATTAGAAAAGGAGAAGCCCTCTGGTTCGCTGCTTTTTCTCGCTTGTTTACCGAGTCAGAAAGTCCCAGCTGAAGGTAGAACTGTAGAAAACACTGTGGACATTGGAGACAGTAATTAACTCATCGCCCATCATAGGGTAAGGAGGACACTGTGGGACCAGCAGGCCATTGGTGTGTAATACTGACATCATTCCTTGCCATCTGCTGGCTAGCATCAGAGCTGGGCTGCACAAGTTCATTTTTCTGCATCCGGAGGGACAGAAAACATTTTCTCAGCAATTAGTGTGTCCACCCTTCACCTTCAGTACAGTTTCCGTTTTTTTGTGAGACTTGCTTTCAGTTGTTCGGAGAAATTTCCACACATTCAAAGTTCAGTCTTAGAAGTTGGTTGCATTGTCTGGTTATCACAATCCAAGCATTCAATCATGTCGAGGTCTGGGCTTTGGGGTGACCAGTCCACTGTTCTGAGGACACCAACAGTGTTATTGAGTGTTTACATGCACTCAATAATCCGATCATAATCGGATTTCTGCAGTTATCTGATTATTCAAATGGCCATGTAAACACCATACTTTGGTCTAGAAATCAGATTAAGAAATCTGATAAAGAGGCTGGATTTTAGCTCAGTAATCAGATTTCTCAGTGCATGTGAACTCTTACTCTGATTTCTTTCACATTTCTCAGTCTGAAAACAGACAGCGGTACCGGAAATAAGCGAGCAGCGTCGCCGCGAGACGCAGCAAAACACTTTTGGGCCGACGCTGAAACCCAAACACGAAATAAAAGATTTAAATATTCTTCATCTTCTAGATGATGTTTGTTCATATTTTCAGGTAAAGTGGCACGATGTTTAATAAAAAGCTGCGGCATGAAGTTCGAGTTTTATATTATATTTACGTTACGTCTTCTTCTGTGAGTTTATTGGCTGGTTGCAAAGCAGAAATCTGATTACTGTCTGACCCAGAGTTCCCCCATTATCTGATTACTCAAGTACATGTAAGCACATTGATTGGATTACTGATTTTCTGAAGTTATTAGATTATTAAGAGCATGTAAACACACTCCTTGACTTGCAGATGATCTTTCTGTCTATTTCCTTTTCTCATTAACGGCTTCTTGACAGCTGCACATCCTTTCAGGCCCATAGTGTTGAGCTGTCTTCTCACAGTGAGAAGATGGATGGAAACAACTGTGTCTGCAGACCCAAAGTTTCATTACACACCTCTATAACCTAAGAAGTGCTTCATTAGTTTGCATTGAAGTCCCTGCAGTTAATTAATAATAGAATGTAATTAGCCTGGAATGTTAAGGGGTTAAAGCTTCAAGTACTGTTTATCAGATAAAGTCCCATAATTTTATATCTAATCGCCTCAGAAATATCCCCTGAATAACTCCTACTCAGTGGTGGTTTGGACTGTAAACAGACACATAAGGAATGGTCTCTGTATCCCTAGGAAGGAATGGGATGTTCCCTGGTCCCAGAGAAGAGAAAGCCACAGCAGAAGTTGGTATTCAGTCTGTGACTCGACGGACCAACCAGTCCTCAGGCTTGATTACCTCACCCACTGTACATTTCGCCAAGGTCGACCGCAGAAGTAACACGATAGCCTCCGGGGTCACAGGACTTCTCAGACACCCTGACCAAAGGAACCAGCCTCTTCTCCTCCAAGTGTCTTCTCGAATCTGGCAGCAACCTTGATCAGAAAAGTTCTGCTTTCTATTGCAGTCGTGAAGAATTCTGAGATTTCTTTGTTCTTGGCTTTTCCCAGCACCTTAATGGGACCTGGCACAGGCAGAAGACCTGTTGACAGTAACACTCTCTGGCCAGTCGCTGAAGTCTGATTTACTCCTTTACTACTCTTTTTCCCCACTCGCAGTTTCTCCTCTGCCGCCTGTTTAGTTCTTGATCACCATTGGGTGTGACAAGTGGAGAAATCGTGCTTTCTGTTGCCTAAAATTGGACACAGCAGACGAGCCAAAGTAAACGGCATTAGAAAGTTAGAGCAGAGAGGGCTTTGCTCTCGAGAGCTCACTAAGGTGTAGCAAGACACGAGGCCTGGGCTTCTTTTTAATGACGGCACACTGGCCTGAACTGAAGTGACAACGTGTCACACGTGTGTGTGACACTATTTGCGAACTGCGCTTCTCTGCAGCTTCCGCTTATGTAATGAATGTTTACACAGGCCCCCACCGCTGAAAAAAAGGAGCGAATGCGCTAGGGCTGGCTGATAAATATTTAATCTATTGGCGAACGGAGAACACAGCAAGGAGGGATGTCTGCAGCATTTGAGAGGAAAAAAAAAAAATGAAAAAGCCTAAGAGGACAAGAGGGAAATAAAGCTGGAGAAAAAAGAGAGATAAAGAGAGTATAGATAAAGGGAAGAGAGAGGGAGCAATTGGGCATAGTGCATGAAAAAGAGAACACACAAAAAGCGAAAAGATGCAAGAGGGCAAAGCTGGCATATTACCAGCGTGCCGGGGCTGCCGGAGTCAAGACAAGAGGGTTTCCATAGCAACCTCTGGAACGGAAAGCTTTGTCTCCAGCATTGTGCCTTCCTTCCTCCATGACTTTTCCCTTTTCAGTAATTCCTCCTTCTAACCCTGTGGCTCCATTACTGCTCTTTGCAGTCCTGCGATAGCTACTTATTCACAGTCCGTCCTCCAAGAGCGAGTCCGCAGGAACTATTTCAACAAAAACAGAGGACTCGCGCATGGGGGGAGGGAATTGCGGCTGCTTAATTGCAGCCCTTTCATCGCTCTTGTACATTAAGGCCCGGAAAGCAAGGGAAAAAAAACATCCTGACTAATGTGGGCCATATGTTCTTCCTGCTAACATCTAGAATACAAAAGGTTCAGTCCTGTACATTAGCACCGACATGAAGACAAAGACGATCTGGAGTGGAGGCAATAGCGACGCTGTATCATAATAGCCGCGGATAAGCCACAAGCCTCATCTACCAGAGGCCCAGGCACAGGAGGACACTACTAGCGATCAAGCATAAGCAGCGGTGTTAAGCGAAGGATTATGCGCAGTCTCGCTGCTGTGCTCATGCTGGGTATTTCATGAAGGATTAATAACGTCGTCTTTTTTATTTTTTGAAGTGACTTGGTGGTACATTTAAGCCTTTGTACACTGACTGCAAGCCTCCCATCTATTCACATTCTGACCCTCGTGGTGCACATACCTCAGCCTGTCAACTCAGGAAGGATTGCTGATGAATAATGATCACTCCTCGTTTCTAGCGAGCTGCACCGCTTTCTAATTTTACAGTTTTGCACCCCGTCTGCCTCATTATGAGTGTATCAACACGACTGCCCACACGCTGCCTCTGTGGACTCAATCTGAACTTCCTGAGTTATTTTTAACGGAATTTAATTGCCATTTCAACTAATAAATCCAGGGAAGTAAGGCCTGTCACACACATTATCGAAAAACGAGTTCAAAACATGTTAAAAATAACATCAGGAATTAATATAAAAAATTATAGAAAATTGATTTTCACTCATTAACTGATACAAAAATAGACCTACATCAATGCCACATTATAAACACTGTGCATATTTACACAATACTAGTACCAGAATTACTGAGATGCCAGTGTTTAATTAGTGACCTTAATACACTGGCCGCTGTATAAGGTATAGTTATAGATATTAACCTCATGCTAAAGGTTACGTTTGGATGCATTTTGCAGGTATTTATAATATCTGTCATGAATGTGTTTTGTGTTGTTTATCAAGTCAGAAGCTGTTAGTAATATAAAGGTAAAACATTGGCTGTGATAATAGGCTTAATTAGATGGCACAAGGACACAAGACCAGTAAGATCTCCTGGAATAGGTGATTCTGGATGTTTGTTACATATGGAATAGACCAATAACTGTTCTTAAGATTTCCATGATACAGTTTCCTGTAGTGCCGTCATCATCTGAGTGATCAGGTACTCAATTAATCGACTCAGCTGAGCTCACCAATAAGAGCAGCTGAACTGTTCTCACTGAACAGCATGGTCAACACTGGTCCATCTGTTTCTCTGCATACTTTGTTAGCCCCCTTTTACCCTGTTCTTCAGTGGTCAGGACCCCCATGGACCCTCACAGAGCAGGTACTATTTGGGTGGTGGATCATTCTCAGCACTGCAGTAACACTGACATGGTGGTGGTGTGTTAGTGTGTGTTGCGCTGGTCTGAGTGGATCAGACACCGCAGTGCTGCTGAAGTTTAAAAACAGTGTGTCCACTCACTGTCCACTCTATTAGACACTCCTACGTTGTCGGTCCACCTTGTAGATGTAAAGTCAGAGACGATAGCTCATCTGCTGCTGCACAGTTTGTGTTGGTCATCCTCTAGTCCTTCACCGGTGGTCACAGGACGCTGCCCACAGGACACTGTTGGCTGGATATTTTTGGTTGGTGGACTATTCTCAGTCCAGCAGTGACATTGAGGTGTTTAAAAACTCCAGCAGCACTGCTGTGTCTGATCCACTCAGACCAGCACAACACACACAACACGCCACCACCACGTCAGTGTTACTGCAGTGCTGAGAATGATCCACCACCCAAATAGTACCTGCTCTGTGAGGGTCCATGGGGGTCCTGACCACTGAAGAACAGGGTAAAAGGGGGCTAACAAAGTATCAGAGAAACAGATGGACTACAGTCTGTAACTGTAGAACTACAAAGTGCACCTATATAGTAAGTGGAGCTGATAAAATGGACAATGAGCATAGAAACAAGGAGGTGGTCAGAATGTTGTACCTGATTGGTGTATGTATGTATATATCTATATATGAAATTCATTTGTTGTTAATTGTTGTTCATCATACATTCATTGTTATTCATTATGCATGATATAATATTAAAACATAATAATGCATTTTATAATATATTTTCTGCTATATATTAATAATTAATGTAGCACACATTCATTTTTACTATTAAATTAAAACATATTACGTTATAATTACATTCTGATTTCCTCTTTAGTGAATGTTTGAACATGTACTTCAGTAGTTTTCAACCTGTCCTCTGCGGCCCGTGGTGGACCCTGGTGGTACGGCTAGAGAGTCACTGGCCATCAGTATTACAAAACAGATATTTAACCAGTTTTAAATTTGACAAATATTGTAGTTTGCAAAAGTAAAACATCATATGTGTATCTAGTTGGTAACATGCTGGCTAGTTATGTTGATATTTTCAGTGCAAGTCAGTGTAAAACGTTTCACTGTTCAATTCTATGAACTTATCCTTCACCCAGCAAACTGTAGTTGACAAACAACATCAGCCTTCTTATTAGGTGAATCAGAACAAACGTCTGATCAGTTAAAGGCCACAGAAGCTTTTGTGGCGAAGGCATCGCACTCAGCTGGTCTCGAGAACAATTTCCTGAGTCATCCTGACCCCAAAATCGAGACAAGACCAAGTGCAAATGATATCAAGATCAAGATGAGACTGAGACCATCAGTGTAAGATCTTAAGAGTGGACTCAAGACCAAGAACAGATTCAAGTACAGCAACACTATTTAGTGATATTATCTATCATTTCCTATTCAATAAAACTTCAGTCTACCTTCTAAAATAACTAATTAACAAAAAAAGCTCACTAGAGTCACAGAAATTAATGCTTATTTTCATCATAACATTTTTACATTTTTAGGAAGATAAGCGGCTTAGGTAACGAATGAGTCACACACACACACACACAAACACACACACACACACACACACACACACACATACACATATATGCACATATATATTGCTGCTGTCAGAACAAGACCTCATATCTCCATTTTTGTCGTTTTTCAGTGTTTGGCATAGTTTGAAAATGCTTGTTGCCCTTTATATTGTGCATAATGTTTATGGTGAAAAGCTGGTTCCATTGACTTACATTAAAGTTAAAGTATATTTTTCAAGTTATTATTTTGGAGATACAAGGTTTTGTTCCGACAACAGCGATATGTTTACTTTTAATGTAAGTCAATGGAACCAGACTTTTTTCCAAGTAATTTGGGGGCTATTACTTTGGTCCATTCATCATGAAATTTGCACACAAATTAAAGGGCAACAGGCATTTTCAAATTATGTCAAAAACTGAAAAACGACAAAAATGGAGATATGAGGTTTTGGTTTATATATGTCACTTATAATAAATAAAGAAGAAGGGCCTGGGTTCGATTCCCGGCCGGGCGACCAGGGTCCTTTCTGTGTGGAGTTTGCATGTTCTCCCCGTGTCTGCGTGGGTTTCCTCCCACAGTCCAAAGACATGCAGTCAGGCCAACTGGAAATGCTAAATTGCCCCTAGGTGTGAATGTGTGTGTGATTGTATATGTATGTATGTATGTCTGTCTGCCCTGTGATGGACTGGCGACCTGTCCAGGGTGTATCCTGCCTTCCGCCCAGTGACAGCTGGGATAGGCTCCAGCACCCCACCGCGACCCAGAAGGATAAGCGGTTTAGATGATGTATGTATGTATATATAATTATGTCAATTATTTCAACAAATAATCTAATAGTTATCAGCTGGATTCCCTTTGTCTATTTAAAAAAAGTTACTCAAAAGCCAATGTGAGAAAAGCATTGAATACATTACATTAAAACCAGTTCATTGTGAAAAAAAAGCTTCCTCAACAGCAAACTTTTAGCATGCCAGCTAAAATTACACATTGCTGTTACTCTTGGCGCTAAGACTAAGGCAGACACCTTTTACAGGTGTTCTTTTTTGAGCGCTTATTATTCAGTCAAACTAGCTCATAGTACCAACTACACAGCAAATACAATGACTCACCTTTAAGCAAACACAGGTGTCACTGATTGTGGTGCATGTGCTCAGTCAATGGTGAGATTCTCCACATAGATGAATCCAAAGCTTATGTGTTTTATATTTGTTTGTTTGGGAACAGGTAGAAAACAACATCCTTCAGTCTATCAGATGAGTGTCTCCCAAGCCATCTTATAACCATATCTGACGCTTTATATTCAAAATATGTTGAGAAGAAACCAGGATGTGCTGTTAAAGGCCTGAAACTTGACGGATTGCTAAGCAGAGGTTAGAGGGCTAATCATTTGCTAAGGTGGGGCTTGAGATCTGTCTGTCAAAGAAAGGGGTGGCTAAACATGCGGGAATTTATCATCTTAGTTAGATTATCTTCTTTTCTTGATAAGGGCCCGGGCAAGTCTTTCATAAATAAATAAATAAATAAATAAGGCGCACTATGAACATTAAAGGGCAGGTGCTCCAGCACATGCAGCACTAGGGCTGGGCGATTAATCGAAAAGTAATCAAAACCAACATTCAGAACCTCTAACTGACATAATCTTGCCCATGTATGTTATTTCGATTTTTTTTAATTCGGTTAATCCTTTCCCCACTCTGTGTGTTCATGTACCGTCCCCTTAAAAACGTACTACCGCGCGTCTAGTCATGTGATTCCACCACATCCAGTCTGCGACATGGAAGCTAAGGCTACGTTCACACAGCAGGTAAAAGTGGCACAAATCTGATTTTCTCACCAAAAAATCTGATTTTTTTTTGTTTGTCTGTTCACATTATCTTTTAAATGTGATCGGTATGCGACATCAGTCTGAACAGATCAGCTCCTAAACTGAGCCACATGCGCAAAAGAACAGAGCGTCACGCTGCTTCACGGCTCATCCAGAGGTAAACAATCACGACCGCCAACGAACGCCAGTCGCTCCCGGAGGATCAGCTTCATCTTCACCAGCATCACAGGAGCCATCATGAAGCTTCACTGTCTGACAGCTGGGCTCATCACCCAGAATGTGTTCGAGCCGTAAAAAGGGCGCGGTCACTTCTTTGGTTCGTGTCCTCGGATTCTTCAAACTTTGCTTTCAGGCTTTTAACTGTTCTTTGACGCTGCAGCCTTGTTGCAATAAGTGCCTTCTAAAAGTCTCAGCACCGCGAAATTATGATGAATGTCGAGTTGGATTAACATAGAAGCTGTGTGAATTCCGATCTGGCTGTTGAGACGATTTACATTAAGATATGCAGAACATATTTACAGCACAAACCTGGTCAGTGAACTACGAGGGCAAAAAACAAACAAACAAAAAACAAAAACAAAATACTGGCTCATTATTCATAATTGAGGTAAAACATTCAATTAATCGTGATATTGATTTGAGGTCGTATCGCCCAGCACTACGCAGCACCCTGTGTGGTAATGTTAGACAACTATGTGATACGACTCCATGTGAGAAAATGACTGTTGCCATGCCAACAGGTAACCAAATGTGAAACATTAAAAGAATACTTTGTACTTCACTTAAGCAATTTGTCCCTGAAATTACAGCAGGGTCACTGCATTTAGCTTCCTCTGTGAATCTACACTGTGCATCTGCATGCTGCTGCTGCTGAGTGGTCAGTTTTAACTGTGGGAAAAGCTGATTGTGGTCCACTCACTGGGGTTATGGAACGAGGCCCGTGTGGAGATGTTGATCTCCTGAAGGTGTTCCAGTGTTTCAGTGTGGAACAGGCGAATGCAGGAGCCCTCGGAGAAAGCCATCCACACCCCTCCACCGGCCCGCACCATGTGGGCAACACTCACCATCGGGTCAGGGTGGACCTCGAACCTCTGAGGAAGAGAGGGGGACAAAAATAAAAAGGGGGGGGTAAGGTTATGTGAAAGAAAGGTGAGAAAGTAACCATGGAAACTACAAAGCAGAAAACGATTAAGTGCTCATTTTGGTCATTTTACATCAAAGACAATGAACACAATGATCCTGCGGAGAAAGTTAAGGGCTCACTGCAACACTAGCATTGAGGATACTGATGTGCATAGTCCAAGTCTATAGGAGCTTCACAAGGTGGACTGGTTTGGGGTCACTGAAAAGCTTAATCTAATGGGCAAAGCCAAGACACACTGCATAGCAAATTTCCTTCAGCGCTAACCTTCTAAAAAACAAGATATTATCCATTAAAAATAAAGAAAAAGACAAAATAAAACATATTTTTTATTGGAAATAAGGCTCAGTACTTTCCATCTATGTGAAGAGAGAGACAGAGAAAAAAAAAAATCATCAAATTAATGTCGCCTCTCCCATTAATGCTAATTCATTTTCGCCAGCGGTTACGCATGGCAACGCTAATGGGTTAAAAAATAGGCCAGAATGAACCTGAGACCAATGAGAATCAACAAGCGGGCAAAATGAGGAAGCAGTTTGATATAGAACTCAATAGGGCATAACAAAAACAGATTGTAACAGCTCTCTCTATCTATCTCTCTCTCTCTCTCTCTCTCTCTCCCATTCTCATTTGCTTGTAGGAAAAGACAGAAAACAGATCACTGAAACTATAATGGCACCAGTTCCATTATAGATATATCTACTGTTCTGTTTACTCCCTGTGACAGCTTGTTCTCGTACACATCAAGTTTTAAAATCCTCTCCAAACAGCCGGCCTTCAAGCACTCAAGTCTACGTTTGACATCATGAAGATCCAGAGTTGGAAGAGTGAGCGCAGAAGCATAAATGAGGTGCTGCTCGGAGTGGCTGAGGGCTTGTTTTCATGAACTGGGTTTCCCTCAGTAAGTGTCCCTACATCATATTACTGCCGGAAGCCCAAGCGGCTGGTCTCGGGTCATTTTCACCTTATTGGAAAGCAGTCCTCATCTCGGCAAGACCTCCCTCTAATGATCCGCCAGCCATGCTGGTGCCAATTTAAGGACGTTTGACCATTCTTCTCCGCAGCGCGCCGTGTGCCGGTGTAAACAGCGCTGAAACTTTCAGCGCAGTGCAAAGTTATTGAGATGATTTATGGCTTTAGATACTAATAGGGATGAAAATATAGTTTAAGGCAGTGAGAGGAATGAAAATCAAGCTACTGAGAGGGCAATTTAGACTTGCTGTGTTCTGTTCAAAAGCTTCACACACAGCTGGTCATTAGATGTGATTCGCATTTAAAATCAGGAGCAGTGCTTTTTCAAAACTAGGGCAGACTAAGTAAGGATGGCATAGACCAAAAATGTTTGGGTGCCATTGCTTTACTGGGGGCAGTCGTGGGCTGGAGGTTAGGGAACCAGCCTTGTGACCGGAAGGTCACCAGTTCAATCCCCTCAGCCAACAGCACGTGACTGAAGTGCCCTTGAGCAAGACATCTAACCCCCAACTGTTTCCCAGGCGCCGTGGATAGGGCTGCCCACCGCTCTGGGCAAGTGTGCTCACTGCCCCCTAGTGTGTGTCTTCACTAGTGTGTATGTGGTGTTTCACTGCACGGATGAGTTAGGTTGCGGAGATGAAATTTCCCCGTTGTGGGACTAATAAGGGTCACGTAATATAATTCAGGAGCCTTTAAATCAGATTAATCTTTTTGGGCCCACAAGGTTTCAGTGTTCATAACTAATTTCTAACTATCTGTGCATTTCCCCTGCAACAAAACAGGATGTCTCAGCCAGGAAATCCAGCTCCATAGGCCTACTGGTCTAGAACCAAGGAACCAGTAATGAAATGGGTCATGGGCTAAGGTTATGACATCACCAGATAAAGTTGTCTACAGCTGCCGATTTCTGAAGGAGACCTGCTATTTTCCACGTTTTTTGGAAACAGCAGCAAATGATAATTCATCAGTAGTCCATAACCAATGTGGAAATCCAAGAAGGGATCTCACCAGACTCAGAAGAGCAGAGCAGAGTAACTACCAAAAAGGGGCTGAACACTATGTAATCATTCTTCTGCCAAGCTGGTGGAAGCGCAGGCCAGTTCTTCCAGGGACCCTCCTGCCAAAATGAAAAATGTAACCAATGCTACATCTGTTGTGAACATGTTTACTCGCATCCTACAACAGTGCCTCAGTAGTCTCCAGAGCAAGACTAGGGAAAACCCCCTTCTGAACATGCATCTTGAAGATAGGAAGAATTTTTGAAAAACCACAACTCCTCTTTGAGGGAGGGCTGTTTGAAATGGTTGGGGTTTTCTTGCATTAGCTGGTGAACGAAGAAGGAAAGCAGATAGTACACTGATACTAGGAAGCCAAATATCTTATCGCAGCCATATAACTAGTCTTCAAATCACTGCTAGAGTGGACAGAATGGATTACTCGAATGACCAGAAATGACTCATATGATGAAGAGGACAATGAGCTAAAAGTTAGAACTGGCAAGGTGATCTACCTGGCTATGTAGAAGTCTATTTCAGCTTGGCTTCTTTTCTCTGACTGAAAAGGTAAAGCACTTGTCTCTGGTGCCTATTTTTTGCCGAATAAAGACAGAATCACAGTCTTCTACAATTTTGTTCAACAACCAAGTTGCATTAATACTAGCTAGGTTGTATTTATTGGCCTATAGATCAGTGGCAAGGCTAGCGGTCATGATTGGATGGCAACACAGGGATTCCCAATGGATCTTCTGAAAGTGGTCCAAATATAATGTGTATTGCCCTGGAGAGTTTGTCTACACTGATGTCCAGTTCCAGGTTCTAGAGGCCCAAAGTGTGACTTTCCTGGGCAAATACAACTTTTAAACCTGGTAACTAATTTCTAAGTTGGATCGAATCTGTTTGAATAGAGAAATCATCAAATTATGCTGGACAAAGGCCCTCTAGAACCTAGAATTGGACATTATTATAGACAAACTCTCTGGGGCAAAGCACAGAGATCATCAGATCAATAGTCCAGCATAGTTTGGACTCTGCTAGACTGTGCTGGACTGTGCTGGACTAATGAAATCACAAAATTACACTAGACAAAGGCCCTCTAGAACCTGGAACTGGACACTGTTATAAATGAACTCTCCAGGGCAAAGCATATAATTTGGATAAATTTCAGGCGATCCTTGTTCAGAGGTCATTAGTCACCAGATGAAATGTAGGATGAACTTGCAAGATGCATGCTGGGAAGTGTAGTGAAAACACACCGATGAATGAAAACATGAACGCAATCTTGAATTCTGTCAAATCGATGATGCCGAGGGACACAATGCTGCGCTGCAGAGAACCGCATAACATATTAAACTCTAGTTTTAAGCCAGAATGCCCCCCAGTTCCCAGAAGCCACCACCAGCTCCAGCACCTTGTTTAGGTAAAAGGATGATGGGCCTCCTTCTACACCACGAAAGGGAACGATGAGCAGTCTTATGTTTGAGGACACGGCCGTTAAAGCTCTCAGTGCTTGCAGCAGGTACACGGGCCACACAGTGCGCAAGTCTTAATGACTCGAGAACAGACGACTTCAATTAAAAAGTGATTCACGGCTAAAGCCTCTCTCTGGTGCCTTGGAAAACAATGCGGCCCCGTTTCCAAGCACCTTTTAAAAGTCCATGGGGGAAGAAGAGCCATTTCACACGCATCTCGGCTAATGAGGCAAGAGGGAACACTGCACTGCCTCTTATCGGGCCTCTGCACGCAGGCCCCTAAGGTCCGTCACTGAGGAGCTCTGCAACTCCCACCGTGGGTTCTCCAGTGTGAGGGTGAGGCAGATTACGTGGTGGGGGTGATTTGGTGGAGGGGGGGAGTGCTGGAAACGAATAAGGCGTTCTCTCTCTCCCCTGCACATCATCAGACAGGGATTAGCACCTGTTCGTGCCCTTGCCAAAGGGAGCTCCTTTTGTTTGAGTGGAGGGGAGATGAGGAAAGCTGCCTTTGATGTGTTTTCTCTTTTAATTGACTCGCCCCGGCACTGGCTGCGTTCTCCCCTCTTCTTCTTCCTTCTCGCTCCCTCTCAGCTCGGTTCAAATTGGCTCGATTCGTCTTTTTTTTTTTATATCCCGAGTACAGCCGCAGAACGAGGAGGAAAAAGAACGATTGCAAATCTCTGCAGCCCATTTCAGAGGCATCAACACAAACATAAACAAGGAGAATCAAGATTTCGATGAAGACTGAAGTACCAGAAGCTGTCACACAACAGCACTCATGGATTGTTGACATATTATGCTGCATTGTACGCTGATGTTCAATTTGTCCTTCATCGACACCCTGTAGACGTCGAATCCGGATACTTTTTACACAAACACTACTGCAGTGCAGCGTCTAAAGCAATGATAAACTAAAGGTTCGGCCTGCTGTGCTTAGACATTAGGGCATCACTCTCCATTAGACAGATCTGTTGTGCAGAACACTCTGCACAAGGATCTCCTGAAAGTGGTCCAAACATAATTTGTGTTGCCCTGGAGAGTTTGTCTATATTGATGTCCAATTCCAGGTTCTAGAGGCCCAAAGCACAGAATGTGACTTTCCTGTGTAAATACAACTTTTAAACCTGGTAACTAATTTCTAAGTTGAATCAAGTCTGTTTGAATAGGGAAATCATCAAATTAGAACCTAGAATTGAACACTATTATAGGCAAACTCTTCAAGGCAAAGCACAGAGATCATCAGATCAATAGTCCAGCATAGTTTGGACTCTGCTAGACTGTGCTGGACTGTGTTGGACTAATGAAATCACAAAATTACACTAGGCCCTCCAGAACCTGGAACTGGACATTGTTATAAATGAACTCTCCAGGGCAAAGCATATAATTTGGATAAATTTCAGGCAATCCTTGTTCAGAGGTCATCAGTCACCAGATGAAATGTAGGATGAACTTGCAAGATGCATGCTGGGTAGTGTAGTGAAAACACACTGATGAATGAAAACATGAACGCAATCTTGAATTCTGTCAAATCGATGATGCCGAGGGACACAATGCTGCGCTGCAGAGAACCGCATAACATATTAAACTCTAATTTTAAGCTGGAATGCCCCCCAGTTCCCAGAAGCCACCACCAGCTCCAGCACCTTGTTTAGGTAAAAGGATGATGGACCTCCTTCTGATCAACAGTCCAGCATAGTTTAGACGTTGTTAGACTGTGCTGGACTAATGAAATCACAAGTCTCAAAAATTGCCACGGCTGAGTATATTTCAAGTCATCCTAGCGGGGTACTGGGTAAAGTTTTCAACCAGCAGTGATCGGGCCTCAGATTAACGTCACGGGCTACGATATTACCTTCTGAGAGAATTGCAGAGTAAGCACCTTTTCTCCAGTACAATCATTAATTCCATATTAATTCATATGTTTTCTAGTAGGTCTATCTGTTTTTTGTCTTTGTGGTGTCCATGGCACTCAAAATACCAATAAATATGTAATGAATTAAACGTCCTGGAAAAAAGATACATACTGAGCACTCAGAGGAAGGTACCCGACAATTTTTATACCTTTGTCTGTAGCATATCTACTCTTCCTGAAACAGTCTGGTTGTATCTACCACTACTGTGTCCTCCCAACATGAAAAGCTAAAATATGTATGATATTTCTCACACTAGTTACTCTGTATTTACATACTGAACTTGCAAAGTATGCACCATGTACTTCTTGTAAGTACAACATATTTAGGACTTGCCATTAAGTTCTGCATAAGCACTGTTGTACATTCCTGGTATAAACTATCTACATGCAAATATGTCCCAGAGTATTACAGTACTAAATATTTACCTATTAAATACTATGTACTTAAAGTATCATGAAATAAAGTGGTACCGGATTTACACAGTTACACGTTACAGTACTGTGATACAGGAAAACACATTACTTCATACCACATTACCCTCAACACTAGTTATTAATGTGAACACATTTTTGGCTTGAAATGACCTGCATGCACACATTTTATCAAGTCAACACTGCTGTTGACCCTTTACCCCCAGTGGAGGATGATCACATTGATGCACAGTGCAGTGTGAGGTTGATCATTAAGAGTCATCCAGACATGTGATAAGGCATGTGTCACAGGTCACAATGTGCTCATGAGGACCTCCCTGTTGTGGTTTCTTGCTGCACTGTGCAGCCACAGGGATCCTGTCAAATACTCCAGTGCGGAAAAGGCAGTTCTGAAGAAGACATTTTGCTCACCTGAGTCTGACGAGGCTCTCTGATGTTTACTCTGCACACCTCATTCCCAGCTGTGCTGCTCGTTTGCACAGCTGCTCCATGGGGGAACACACGCTTAGCATGCCCAGTCCACAGCCATCCCGCTCACTCGAAACGGCATCATTGACTCAGGGCAGCAGGAAGCTAACCTGGCAACTATCTGTAGCAGTCGCGCAAGAGAGGAGCCGGTCAGGGGCGAGGCAAGGGCCACACTTTCCCCCAGCTTGTAGCTCTAATTCCGGCGACACACTTGGCTGTGCGCAGTTTGGCTTCGGGAGTCCTGGGAAGAAAGTTAACCGCCACAACGGTGCTGCTCCGCTGCAGCTGATGGCCAAGATGCCTCTACTGAGGGAGGGATACTGATGTAATCAGTGGAACGACACGGCGCTTTCCATTGCTCGGTCATTTCTGGCACTGGCCTGAGCCGCGAGCAGCAAAAGTACTGCTAACTCAGCACTGGCCCAAATCTCCTACCTGACGGGATCATCCAGGGAAATCTCAAAAGGGATGGAGGAGATGTTTGATTCAGAGGATGAGACTAAAAAGGCTCAACTAAAGAAAGGCTTACGGGGAGCTAAGGCCTACAAGGCAAGACCCCAGGGTATGATACCTCTGTAGCTAAAGCATCCCCGGGGGGAGATTATGTGAAGTCAGGGTTTATTCCCTCAGTCTGTACAGTTTGTAAGTGAGAAACGACAAACGCCAGAGGAGAAACTTTGACCACAACAGGAATGGATGGCAGGGCCACAGCCTTATTGATCTTCACACACAATCTAATTTGTCAGTCAGTGCTTGCGAAGCTCCCATAAGCTGTGGCCTGTGCCATTCCACTTGCTATTTTTTAGAGGAGAATGAGTAAGCATCTTTAGAAATCGAACAGGTCTCTGCTGAAAGAAAACCTACCCGTGTGGACAGGCTGGAGGCATCAATGGCAGACACCGAGTTTCCACAGCTGGCCCATATAGAGTCGTCTAAGGCCAGTAATGTCCGAATTGGCTCCTGGCCCACTGGGACTTTTCTGCAGGAGTCTGGGTTCCAAAACTCTCCTAAAGAGAGCATATTAAAATATCAACATACAAACAGCAAATGTACAAGTATATGTAAGAAATAATATATTCTTTCAAAATACAGCACTGTGTAAAAATCAGAGACCCTTAGTTTATTTAATTTCCAGCTAAAACAGCCATTATGCCATTTATTTTTCAGCACCAATGAAGAAATGTCGAAAACATTTATTTTACATCAAAATATTACAACAAAGAAGCACCAACAATTACCTTTAATATCCTTTATTTTCAATATTTAGTGTGTCCACACTTTGCCTTTACTACAGCTTTTATTGTTTTTGAGAGACCTGCTTTCAGTTTCTCAAAGAAACCTCCAGGGATATTTTCCCTAAATCCAAAGTTCAGTCCTAGAAGTTGGTTGCATTTTTGGCTTCTCCATATCCAGGTAATCCCAAACATATTCACTAGTGTTGAGGTCTGGACTCTGGGGTGGTCAGTCCATTGTTATGAGGACACCAGCAGCTTCTTTGATTTGCGAATTTTCTTTTTTGTCTTTTTCCTTTACACTGTTAAAAATGAGAGGTCAGCTAAACTTAAAATGATATAGTAACTGATTTCATGGCTTTTCTTGAGTTGACTCAACTTGAGGACACCAACTCAAACTTCTTAGTTGAGTCAAAAGTTCTCTTCATTTTTTAGCTCTGAATCTCAGTTATGGTAAATATGGTAAATGAACTTGTTTTTTATACTCAGTTTCCCCACCAGCCAAGACTCTTTTAACCACACAGTCCTGCTAGACATTCTTCCTCTTGGGTTCACACTTATGGATGTCTATGGCATCGTTGGGGCTCAAACTCACAACTGCCTGTTGGGGTGACGGCTTAGTCCACTGCACCACTCAGGAACACATAAGGCAGCTCAGATTTTATGTCTATAAACTGGAGAAAATACTTGTTTTAATAAACATAGCATGGTTTTATGTGGTGCAACCGTCTAATAATTCATCCCAACATCAGGAGGTTGTGAGTTTGAATCCCAGCAATCCCACAGCTGTCCATAACCAGAAGCCCAAGAGGAAAATATGCCAGATGGTACTGTGTGATAGAAGGAGCGCCAGCTAGTGGGGAAACTGAGTAAAAAAAACGCAGTTTTTAATTCAGTTTTGTTTATCAAACTCTGGTGTCCTCAAGTTGAGCCAACTCGACAAAAGCCATTTTAAGTTGAGCTGACGTCTCATTTATTTAGTGTAGTTGTTCCACAACTTCTTAAAATTCACACAGTTGTCTTCTCACAGTGGAAGGATGGACAGAGTTGTCTTCTCACAGTGGAAGGATGGACAGAAACACCTGTGGATGTTTTCAGATCTGAAGCAGCTTGATTTTCTCCTCTCTCTCAGAGATGAAAGCTTTAAGTGCTGTTTATCTGATGGTGACAGGCTTGGTGGTACCAGGTCCTGCACGGATGTGCATAGACTCCCATTTTCTAAGGGTGTTGTACACGTCTGGTCTCCAGAGTGTAACTCAGTCTCATCTTGTTCTTGACATCATTTTTGACTCTGTCTTGTCTCGGCCTCTGGGTAAAGATGGACTGGATATTGTTCTTGAGAACAACCGAGTGCAATGCCTCCATCTGAGGTAATAACTGAACTTTTTTTCTATCATTATTCAATATCAGCAACATCTGCAAATGAATCAAACAGTCCTGTTTTTCTTTATGTTTGAAGGAAATCTTTTCGCTGCTGGCTGAGAATTTATCGATTAATTCCATGATGGCCTAACTGGCTGTTATTATATGTTTGATGATGTTCATTGGTTCCAAAATTATGTATCCCTGAGGGCAGATCAGAACGTTATTATTACTATGTTTTTAAAAAAATAATAAACATGGATGTTATGTTGCTTAAAATAAGTTCAGTTGACTTTAGGTGGTGATTGTGAATACATTTTAGAAGAAGAAGGGACGGAATATCCTATAAGGCTATAATACTATTAAATATTATTTTAGGCTTTATATTATTTAATGGTTTATTTCATTAAATACGTTCTACAATATAATACTATTTTATAATCTATATCATGTATAATAAATTGTAAGGAATGTACAATGAACTACATTTCAGTTTTTAGCCCTTTTGCATTTTGAATAAATCTTAATCTGGTCTCAGCCTTGACTCAGAGTCTCTTCTAATGGTCTTGACTACAACAGCACCATTTTCTCTGCCTCTTTTTCTAACTGCAGTTTTGGAAAACTGCTGTTTTCTCACTCATTTCACTTTGACTTTTCCATTCCTCGTGCAAGTCGATCTTATGTTTAATTTCTTGGGAAATCTCACCTGCGACCTGCATAACTTGTACTTAATAGCCATTAAATCAATAACAGGTGGTCTCAGACTTTTCCACAAGACTGTATGTCAAAAGGAATTTAATAGTTCACTAAGATGTTTTTACCAATAATGAACAGCACTTCAAGTAAAGTAAGAACACATCAAGTAGCAGAGCTACAAAAATGTGCCGCATGGTGATTTCGCTGTTTTTGCCTAGAGCGAGTCACTTAAGCTAAATTGGTTCCATTAATACCCCAGAGTAAATCCTTGTGTTTGCAAGACAAATGGGCAAAAGTGGTGCTGGGACTATTTCTTTTTTTTTTAAGCCAAACGATTTAAACACCCAGAAAAAGAGCAAACGACGGCGACGCAACACGTTTCGTGGGCCGTGCTTTTTGTGACCTTGCTAGAAAACTGTCAGTGCTTTCTCTTCGCTAATGCACTAAGAGTGTCAGGTTAATGACTAAACAACATTGTGTAACGAGAAGCCCCCCCTCAACTCTTTCTTTGTCTCAATTATGCTCCAAACGAGGCAGGCCTCTTTCTTTGAGATCTAATCACAGGGCGGGCGACGCAGTCACCGTGGACAGCACTAAGAGGGACGTTACATAAGTCCGTAAGCCCCCCGCCACCGCCATCACCACCGCCGCCTGTTAATGAAGCAAAATTAGAGAAGGAAGTACGGCGAGTCATTTAATTAACATTTCGAGTTGTTTATTTCTGCCTTTGAAACCAGAATAGCTCGACAATGCCTTCTGACTTCCTCGGGTTAATTGCCTGGCATATTCGAAATGTCAGTCTTCCTTCTTTTCAAGCGGGCGCTTTGAAAATGTCCCTTTGGCCACTCATATACAGACGGTGACCCAGCGGAGATTCGCTCCTTTCACCGCGGAGGACGGGTGGCGGGGAATGCGTCGAGGCCGTCCACTCAAAGCGCGCGGAGACGCGGTCTTTAATAAAACAGTTTTCTGATATAAGCTCAGAAAGCAATAAAGGAAAAGGGGGGGAGAGACATTTTCCCATGGTGTTTCATTTATATGGGCTTTTTTATTGCCTAGGGGTGTAATATCTTTACTTCCTTCCTTTAGCGACATATACACCTCATTATTATTCTTATATGTTTGGCATTTGCTGATTAAACAAGACGACAGATTCGTTGCCTTAAATCACCATGAAGAAAACAAGAAAATCTCCCCCAAAGCAATTATGCCATGCCGATACGTTCCAAAACGCCCTCTGATTAGTCTCATGTGTGAATGTGATGTTTTTCTCTCCTAAAATTGGATTTTTCTTTTTCTCCCTCTCGCTTTTTTTTTTGTTTTCTGGAGACGTAATCTTACTAGTCAGTAAATAGAGAGTTTTTCTGTTTACTATTGATTTACACTGAACATGAATTGTAATGTTTAATAGGCATACAGCACAGGGGTGCAATTAATCATGCTTTATGCTTTGATGGATTTAATGCCCAGGGGACAGAGCCAGGTAAGCAGGACAAGGTGATAAACTACAATGGCCTGTCAGCTAGTGGTGTGGCCAGAATTTCACACAGTGAGGATCACGACCACCACCTAGCCAACTTCATTAGAGGTAAAATATTAGAAAATGACCCATCCAGTAGTATAATCAGAGTAAAAAGACATAATCTGGAATGGTAAACATGACCCAAGATTGGCTACATTAGCTACTATAACAGCTGACAGCATAGCACAGTGGATACAGGCTAATTTATCAGAGTCCTACTTTAACCTTGACATAGATGTTGAGTGAATGGGTGAAGACTGAAATGTTTTTGTCTCTTTTTCAAAGTACTGAACTTTGTTTTCTTCACGGTTAAAAATGAGAAGTCAGCTCAACTCAAAATGATATAGTAACTGATTTCATGGCTTTTCTTGAGTTGACTCAACTTGAGGACACCAGAGTTCACACAACTCAACCTTCTTAGTTGAGTCAAAAGTTCTCTTCATTTTTTAGCTCTGCATATTAGTTTGGTAAATAAAATTAACCCATTTTTTTATACTCATCTTCCCCACCAGCCAGGACTCTCTCCATCACACAGTCCTGCTAGACATCGTTCCTCTTGGGTTCTCACTTATGGATGGCTGTGGCATTGTTGGGGCTCAAACTCACAACCTCCTGTTGGGGTGACGGCTTAGTTCACTGCGCCACTCAGGAACACGTAAGCAGCTCAGATTTTGTGTCTACAAATGTTTAATAAACTGGAGGAAATATTTGTTGTTTTAAATTTAAAGTATGGCGTCGTCTCATGTGGTGCAGCTGTCTAATCATTCATCCCAACATCAGGAGGTTGTGAGTTTGAATCCCAGCAATCCCACAGCTGTCCATACCCATACTGTGTGATAGAAAGAGCGCCAGCTAGTGGAGAAGCTGAGTAAAAAAACAAATTCAGTTTTGTTTATCTAACTGAGATGCAGAGCTGGAAACAGTAGCTGGGAGAATTTTACTCAACTAAGAAGTTTGAGTTGTGTGAACTCTGGTGTCCTCAAGTTGAGTCAACTCAAGAAAAGCCATGAAATCAGTTACTATATCATTTTAAGTTGAGCTGACCTCTCATTTTAACAGTGTTTACCACAGTCAAGTTCTACTTCTCCCTAGCTTAGTCTATAGGAAGTAGTGCAGCTCACAAGTTCTCACCGTAAAGTGAAACTGTGGTGTGAACGAATGCTGTGTTTTCATTTTGGCACTGAAAAAAAAGCAT